CATCCTGACTCGGCCCCAGACACACTGACCAGATGTCTGGAAGCTGTGGCTGGATGGTTACGTGGGAGCCGGTTGAAGTTAAATCCTTCGAAGACAGAGGTCCTCTGGCTGGGGCGGGACGATATGGGATCGAGGGGGCAACTCCCATCTCTTGCGGGGGTGCAATTAGTGCCAGCACCGTCCGTTAAGAGTTTGGGTGTAATCTTCGATACCTCCCTCTCTATGGAGGCGCAGATTACAGCTATAACAAAGGAGGCATTTTTTCATCTCCGCCAAGCTAAGCAGTTGGCCCCTTATCTCTCTCGCCCTGATCTAGCCACTGTGATCCATGCGACGGTCACCTCCAGACTGGATTATTGTAACTCGCTCTACGTGGGGCTGCCCTTGAAACTGACCCAGAAACTCCAGCGGGTGCAGAATGCCGCGGCGAGACTCCTTATGGGGTCTTCGCTGCGAGATCACATTCATCTGGTACTATACCAGCTGCACTGGCTCCCGGTGGAGTACAGGATCAGGTTTAAGGTGCTGGTTTTAACCTTTAAAGCCCTATACGGCCTAGGACCCTCGTACCTACGGGACCGCCTCTCCTGGTATGCCCCACAGAGAAACCTACGGTCTGCAAATAACAACATCCTCAAGGTCCCAGGCCTCAGAGAGGTTAGGCTGGCCTCAACTAGAGCCAGGGCCTTCTCGGCTGCGGCTCCAATCTGGTGGAATGCTCTGTCACAAGAGACTAGGGCCCTGCGGGACCTGACATCTTTCCGCAGGGCCTGCAAGACAGAGTTGTTCCACCAGGCCTTTGGTCAGGGCGCAGCCTGACTCCCTCCTCTGGCAGCAACCACAGAATTTTGCCTAATCGGTTGCCAACAATTTGATTTTAATTAATTTTATAATGAAATGTTTTTAGAATGTTTTTAGAATTTGACTGTTTGACTATTTGACTGTTGTTAGCCGCCCTGAGCCCGGCTTCGGCTGGGGAGGGCGGGATATAAATAAAATTTATTATTATTATTATTAATCTTTCTGGATAATGTTTCCACAAAGATGATGTACAGAATATTGTACTAAGTTTATATGTGTTATCGTCTGAAGAAGAGAAAGTAGCATTTTGCAAGGAAAGGAGTCACACACTGGCCAAATCTCTAGCAGCATCTCAGGCGAGGGGCATATTGGGCACCTCTGTCTACTGGTGCTTAGTGGGAAGGCATGGGGCAAGAACTTGTGGCTCTGCAAATGTAGTTAGACTACAATTCCCACCATTCCTGACTGTTAGGCTCCCATCAGCCTCAGCCAGAGTGGCTAACAACATCTGTAGGGTCTCAGGTTCCTTGCCACTGGCCTTGACCCTCATCCCTGCTGGGTTGATAGAGAACCATATGCTCCCTCCCATCTTGTGCCCCATGTTTGAGACAATTAAAAAGCAGGAGGAAAGTTCCTAGTTTTCTTAAAAACAGAGACACAGGTGAAATAGCCACAGCTTTAATTTAAAACGTTGCTCACAGAGTTGTGATAGTGTCACTGAGCAATGGGTTGTCAACCTGTTTTTTGTCTCGGGGGTCCTGTATCTGAGGCAGCTGCATGCAACAAGCAGGGTAATGGGTGTAGTTTTCCCCATTCCAGTGCCTCCATGCAGGTTATAGATGCCCCTCTTGCACTTTATGCACAGGAGCATAACGAAGAAAATGTTGGCAACCTACATGTGAACAGATGTTTCTCTGCTGACTCTAATGGGAATGTTTTCACTTGTACCACCTCTCTTGAACTGCATGTTGATGCTGGGCTAGAAAACAGACCCCAATGTGTATAATACTCTGCTATAATAGAAGTGCCATTCACTTTCAAAAACAGTCTATTGATTATTTTAGTACTTGCCTTGACATAGGCAATGCAGCATGATGTGTGCGAGATACTTGGTAGGAAGAGGATGAGAGTTGCATCAGACTACTCAAAGTGACACTCTGTCATGGGGCTTCTATTCTATAGTGCTTTACCTGAAGCACTTCCTTTACTATGAAAGGAATCTATCAGGTGTTTAACTCCTTGACAGTCATCTGTCGGCTGCACAATAAAGATGTTGGCTTCAGACATTATTGGCTTGAAGTTCCCTCTGTCAGGCTAGGTCTGTGTTGACAAAAGAGCACATTTGAGTTGCAGTATCATCCCCATGATCTAAAGATAAAGGTGTAGCAAGATTAATATCAAGGCAGTAAATCTTTCTCATTGAACACTGCCTAACATAAATCCTAATGCAGGGAATCAAGATGGTGCCCTTCAATACGAGATTCAATTACTACCACGAAATCGTGTTCCTGTTAGCTTCATCAGCATTTCCCCTTGAAAAAAACCTATTCTGACAAATCCTCATACTTTTTTTCAACTCTGCAGAGGCAGCTGTGGAAAAGGTATTATGGCAAAAAAGAAAAAAGAAAAAAACAAGTAAGATGCATACAAACCACTGTTGGTTTTGGTATTAATTTTTTTTTAGTTCTTGGATTTGTTTTTTTACTACTTTACACTGGGCACAGTTAAATTATGAAATTCCCTCCCCCCCAAGAGGCAGTGATGGCCACCAACATGGATGGCTTTAAAAGAGTATTAGACAAATTAATGGAGGGTAAGGCTGCCAGTGGCGCTGTGGGTTAAACCACAGAGCCTAGGACTTGCCGATCAGAAGGTCGGCGGTTTGAATCCCCGCGACGGGGTGAACTCCTGTTGCTCAGTCCCTGCTCCTGCCAACTTAGCAGTTCGAAAGCACGTCAAAGTGCAAGTAGATAAATAGGTCCCGCTCCGGCAGGAAGGTAAACGGCGTTTCTGTGCGCTGGTCTGGTTCGCTGGAAGTGGCTTAGTCATGCTGGCCACATGACCCGGAAGCTGTACTCCGGCTCCCTCGGCCAATAAAGCGAGATGAGTGCTGCAACCCCAGAGTCGGCCACGATTGGACCTAATGGTCAGGGGTCCCTTTACCTTTACGGCTGCCAGTGGCTATGTTCTACGCCCACTGTTGCTGGAAATTGCAGGTGGGCAGAGTTCTGTTGCCCTCATGTCCCACTTGCAGGCTCCCCACAGGCATCTGGTTGGCCACTATGAGAACAGGATGCTGGGTGGGATGGGCATTGACCTGATCCAGCAAGCTCTTAACAGAATATGTGCCAATACAAACTGAAAAAATTCTGATGGAAATTACACTGATTTGCATATGATTTCTTTTTGTAATTTTTTAAAAAATGCAACATTATCCAAAAAACCTACATCACTACAAATCACCAGACCAAAATACCCCTATTTTCTCTTGAGTTTGTTGGACCTTCTCCAGACCATCATTGAAACCAGACACCAGTTCAGCCCATCACAGTAACCCCCAAATTAGATGAAGAGTTCAAATAAGATGAAGAGGTCAAATAAAATTGGGTATCAGTATGTTGATGCCACCACACTCATGGCCTGTTCTTACGTAATGACACTGGGTCTGTGTGCCCCAGGATCACATAGCTAACTACTATAACTGCCCAAGTCTTCTTCGCACAACTGTTGAAGGCTGCTGTGTAGCACACTTAACAACGGCACAGTCGGTCCAATGTTTTATTTGATACACAGTGTACTTGTTAAAAAGAATAGCCACCCTGGGCTATAGTTCAGTGGTAGAGCATGTGTGTATCCTTGGTTTGGGCACCAGTAAAAAGAATCTCGGGTTGCTGGACTGAGAATGACCACCTTGTCTGATAATCTTGCAAGGTAAAGGAACCCGCAACCCTCCAAATGTGCTTGGACTCCATCTCCTATCATCTCTGATCACGGGCCATATACACTGTAGGCTTCGTAGAAGTTAGAGCTCAACATCTGGGGGGCCACAGATTCCCCTGGCCTTGATTTTAGAGCTACTGTCAAGGCTGAATACAATACTGGCTTACGATGGACCAGTGGTCTGGCCCTATTTTAAGGCATTTCTATATGTTCAATGACAGGGAGCAAATTAGTGGGAACCTCATCGCCCAATCAAAAAAATTGAGGGAGATGGACTGGCAGGAGTAAGAAACACTTGTCTAGACTGCAATGGAAAGTGGTTGGCAGTGGGGAATACAGGAAGCCATACCTAGTGCTGTTTCGGAGAGCAGAGCCATTACTGAGAACCAGCATGGCGTAGTGGTTAGCCTGCAGCCTTTTTCAGCCTTGGGTCCCCAGATTTCCTTGAACCACAACTTCCATCATGCCGGACCACTGGCCATGCCAGCTATCAATGATGGAAGTTGTGATCCCAACAACATACAGGAACCCAAGGTTGAGAGTCTGGGTTTGAGTATCCGACTTGGACATCCTGGGAGAGCAGGGGGATCAAAACCCCCAGACAGCCATGAAGCTGGCCAGGTGTCCTTGGGCCAGTCGCTGCCTCTCAGCCTAACCTACTTCACAGGGTTGTTGCTGTTGGGATTAAATGGGGGGGGGGGTAGAGAGAACTGTGTATGCCCCCCTTGGAGAAAAAGTGTGGGATATAAATGCAACAAGTAAATAAACACTGTGGAAAGCGGAACAACAGGCTGCCTGAGCGGGGCGGGTGTTGAGCACTTTATTTCGGATGGTGCAAGAGGATTTTTCTCTTTGGAGGCACAGAACAGGGAAGCAATCTGCGGGAGAAGGTGGTGGTGGAAGCAGCAGCAGCAGAGAAAGGGGAATCCCTTTCTCGATGCTTCACGGGGAGGAAAGAGTGTCCTGCGTGCGCTTTGCAGCCGTCAAGCGGCCATCTCTGCCTTATTCGCTGTGGAGGGTCGAGGTGGGCCTCTCGGATTTTCCGCGCGTGCACACAAGGGGCGGGTTTCTCCTTTCCACCCCCACCTCCTATTTTATTCCCGGATAGGAAAGGAGATACTCCCTCCCCCTCCCCCCCTTCAGCATCCTCACAATGAGGCGCCCCAAAGACTGGGATGACATCACCCGCTCGTCTCCAAAGAGGCGCCGTCCCATTGGCCGGCTGTCGGCGCCTTTGCGGCCAATGGGGACGCGGCAGGGCCCCAGGCCGGGCGGGCTGACGTGCGAGCTTCCAGTCTCTTTGCCGTATGGGGGTTTATTTTGTTTTGGGCCACTCCAGCCGCCGCCATTAGGCGAGCCCAGGGTAGATTCGAGGGTGGCGGGATCTCGTTGCCTGGGCTTCCCTCCCCCTCAGCCCCGCCGGGGTGGTAGCGTCCTCCCAACCAGCGACGTCCTTTTAGCCACCCAGACCAGGAAGGAACCATGTCCTGAGCGGGGGGGAGGGGGGAGACGGGAGCGAGAGGCCGCAACCAGCGGTGCGGAGCAGGGGCGGCTGGCTGGCTGGGATGCGGGTGAGGGGCATGGGCGGCAGCCGCTGAGGAGAGACAGTCGCGGGATCAGGAGGCTGCTCAGCGAAGGTATGGAGACGGGGGATGGGGGGGTGGGGAGGGAAGCGACGAGGCGGGGTGGGGGGAGAGAGAAAAAATAGCATTTCTTAATTTTTTTGTGGTGGGGGGGACTTTTGTACTTAATGTGAGGAATTACCTCACCCTGAGCCGCCTCTTTCCCCCGGTGTTTATGAGGGCGAGGGGACAGTTTCTCACTGGGGGGGGGCGGCGTTTATAGTTGCACTTCGGAGAAGGGAGGCGAACTCCATCCCTCAGCTTCACAGCCCTTCCTCTTCCCCCTTTCCCCCCCAAACCCCTGGAGGTACCTCGGGGCTTACGCGACCTCCCTCCCGTCCCGTCCCCCCCCCCGCCAGCCCCACACACCGCGCGCCGCTTCAATATCACTTTGTTGGCCGGGCCACCCCCTCTAGTGTTGGCAAAGGATTCCTAAGGCCTTTCGCTCGCTCCTAAGAGGCGTTGAAGCTCCCCCTGTTTTCTCGCCCCCTCCCAAAAAACACCACCGCTTAACGATGTTGCTAAGTAGTTGCCTTGCTCACCGCCCCCCCCCTCGTTTCTGAGCCTCCCCCACCTTTTGCTTGGGCTGGGAGAACGGGAGAAATGGGCTAAAACTTTGACCACTGTGTTTAGTGTGGGTGGGGGGAGGGGGAGATTCCTCTTGTGTTACCTCAACGGAGTGCTTGTCTGTTGCTCTATGTAGGGATCCCTCCCCCCCCCCCCCGCCGCAAGAAAAGAAAAAGGGGTGGGTGGGTTTTGGAGCATCCAGGCACCTGCCCGGGAGAGATGCTGCTGTCGCCACTGGGTTGTTTACTATAAGGTTCTGCCACCTATGGCAGTTTATTCGGAGTTGGCTTTCATGCTGCTGGAAGTACTAACGTGTGCATAATGTGTACTAAATTGCTTGGTGGCCAGAAGCCTTTTTTTGGGGGGGGGACTGCTAAATATTGCAACTCTTGTTTTTGCTTAATGTGTGTGGCTTATCCGACAGGCCCCCCGTGGTCTGCGTGGAGAGCATCACTTCTGTTTTTGGAAACGGGAATGTGATGCGGTAAATGCTGGGTTTTGAACACCTAGTGCAGTGTATCCAACGCTGTTGTTTCAAAGCTCTAAGAAAACCACAATTTGGCATATGCAGCAGAGACATTTCTGTGTTCTTGCTTATCCACATTTAGTGCTGCAGTACCTACATCTTACTATAGTGAGGTCATACCTCTCCTGTTTTCCACCCCTCCTCTTCCTCATTATTCATAGACTGTAACCTGTGTCTTACTGTTTCTGTTGCAAAAGTGGCATGCCATAAATACTGGATTTTTTCAGTGCAGATGTTAAATTCTTTATCCTTGTTAGAGTGAAATTGATTTGATTTTGTGCAGTTGTACTCTAGCTGAGCAGCCCCCCCCCCCAGCAACTATCGCAAGGAGACTGCATCTTTGGCTTAATCACACTTTTGTGAACTGCATCAGTCATAGTAAGAAATTGTACTGGACAATGATAATTAGAACAAAATCGTCCTACATTGCAGCAGCTGTCTTAATGGCCAAACAAGGCATTTTTGGAGGTCATACAGTGCTTTTTGGAGTACCGCAGATAACCCTCTCTGTATTTGAGAGCAAGTTCCCCTGTGCTGTTGCTTTGTTAAAAAAAAAAAATAGTCTTCAAAGCTGTACAGATTCTTCTGCTGTCTTCTCAGATCTCCCCTCTCCTGATTTGAGAGAGTAATTTCACCCCTAGATATTCTAAAAAGATTCTGAACATACCATTTCCAGTTGATGCATTACATAGGGCAACCCCTTATAGTCTTAGGCAGTAGCATTGAGGACTGTGTGTGATAGCAAGGTGCCCTAAACATAGTCTGGATGCTGTTCTTAACAAGGGCTGTGAAGTTGCTCTGTAATTGCATTGTTTTTTTATGAGCAAGGAATGCCTTTGCTAGAACTCATGGGATGTGGCACTGTAATTGGTAATGCTTCCTGCTACATATATGCTGGCTATGATTTCAAAGGCATAAATTTATCTAGCTATCCAAAGTCTTCTGGATGCCACTGAAGAAAAGTTACTTTCCACGGAATAACAGGATGTTTTCATTCCCAGCTCAGTTTTCTGTAGATTTAAAACATTTCAGATTCTATTTCTGCTATTTCCACTAATTATGGAGGAATAGCTGCCTTTTGTGTGTTTGCTGCCTTTTTGGAGGTGATTTGACATGTGAATTTCTAAGAGATGGTTCTGAAGCCCACTGAAGCCATCTAGGAATTAGTAGTTGAGTTACAAAAGCCACTTTTAGTTTATGCATATCATAACTAGAAAGCTGAGGTTCTTTAAATTACGTACTACTGTAACTTTCCTGTGTAGAAAGTTAGCATTTATGATTTGATTGTAAAGAAAGTACCCCATTATTGTTCAAATATTATTTACCACATAAAATTTTGTTTTAGTTTGTATTTTATTTTAACCACAAAGAATGATAAACAGCAGAAATAATCCAAGCCATGTATACTCAGAAGCAAGCCCCATTGAATTCAGTGGGGTGTACTCCTGGATAAATTAGGATTGCAGCCTTATTAAGCCTGTGGTATACCAGTAAGGTTGACACCTACCAGATGGCTTAATCTTTAGCCAACCTATGTATTTTTAGTTTAGGGATGAGAAAACCTATGACCCTCTAGATGTTGTTGGATTCCAACTCTCATCAGTCCTAGGTAGCATGGACAATCATCAGGGATTCTGGGAGTTCCAGTCCTGCTGGACTGAGTACACACCAAATTTTGCCAATCCCTGCAGAAAGGCAGACTTAGGGGCTCTTCACAGTACCACACTGGGATATTTTCAAGTCCTGAAGGGTGCTTTGAAGTACTGATGTTCTGCAGATCTCCTTCTCCTTCTCCCTTTTCCCCAGACCGTCAAGGCAGCCTACAGATAAAAATACAAAAGCACAGATAAAATAGAAACAAATTAAAAGATAAAAAAGAATAATTAAAGTAATTAAACATTAGCAGAATTTCAACAACATATTAAAAGATACATTAAAAATATAGATAATAACAACAATAACATCACAGCACCAGCCCTTTCCTTAAAGACAGCCAGTTCTTAAAAGGCCTGTGGGAATAAAAACATCTTCACCTGCCTGTGAAAGGACAATAAGGAGGGAGTCAGTCTAACTTTTCTAGGAAATGAGTTCCAAACTCTGACATCAGCCACCAGAGTGGCTCCCTCTCCTGCATTGCCACCAAGTGTACCTGTGAGGGTGGTGGGACTGAGATGATGCCCTACCCTGATGATCTCACAGCTTGGGCAGGTTCTTATGAGAGAATACGGTCTTTGAGATAGCCCTGGACCTAAGCCATATAGGGCTTTCTAGGTCAAAACCAGCACTTTGAATTGAGCCTGGAAACAAACCCTAATTACATCAAATAATTAACAGGTGGGAGGCTCTGCCAATTTGTCAAATTTGGCCCACCAGGATCAGGGAGATAAAGATCAGGCCCACTGGGGTGAAAAGGTTTCCCATTTAGATGTGCCTATTCAGAACTCTTTCTACGATTTACAACATTTTACTTTAACATGTTGTGACATGATTGAGCTTTTGGTCTGTTTTTGTAAGCATATTGTAATCACTAGTACTGAAAAATTTCATAGCCTATAGTTTCTAATGAGCTAAAGGTTTCTTTAAAACAGTTCACTGCATATATTATTAGGAAATAAAGTTAATTTTTGTTGATGTTGACATAAACTGTAAATGAAGTTTTAACAATGAGTAAATCCAAATGGTTGATGCTCCAAGAAGGGATAAAAAAGTTATTCTGTTGGTTCAGCAGAATGAAAATTAGGCATAGAAATAATGTGGTTTAACAGGCCCATCCAGTGTTGCAGTATGTAACCTTTCGAATTTTACAAAACATTTTTCTTAGGATGTTGAAAAAGACTTTTTAAAAGGAAAAATAGATGTTAAACCAATCTTACCCTTGGTAATCAGTTCCATTAAGATGGGAGGATCCCCCCCCCCAATTTGGTTAAGGCTGAGCCTTATACTATTGTTTCAGGTTACTTAAAGTTCTTCCGGGGCAAGGCAGTAATGGCAAAGTCTCCGTTTGAAAAATAATAATAAAACTACTTATACAAAATGTTTGTCAGTGTGGTGTTGCAGTTCCCTTAGAAGGCATAGAAGCAAAAATAAACAGTTGTTTTTATATTAGCAAAGGAAGCAACTAATGTTAGAATAAGCTGCAGGTTAGAAATCTTAGAAAGGTTACAGCGTGGAAGGCTTACACAACCTGAGAATTGCAGGGTGGGGACTAAAGGGGAACAAATTACCCCAGAAGGAGCATGATGTGTCCCCCACCAGAAGTGCTACCCCTCCCCTAACACCCCCCCCACCTATTATATCAACTAGTAATGTAATTGGTAGAAGTAGATAATTTTTAACTAGCAAAGGTGAAGAACCTCTGGTCTGTCGGCCTAATTTATGCCCGTCAGTCACTGTACCCTCCACGTTTGGCCTGCCTGTCCATTTCAGCAAAGTCACTCTCACCTGCCCTACACCTTGCATCATGTGTTACATCCAATGTGGGACTGGTAAAGGCTTGGATGAAATGGGCTTGGCTGAAAGGAACTCTGCAGGCACTGCTGTTCTGCGTTGCCTGCAAAACCCCTTGTGCAGTGCTCCTCAAACATCCACAAGCACTGCACATGCTTTCCCCCCCATACACTTTGCTTTCAAATCTCCAGGGGCAAAAATGATGTTGTTGTAACACCAAGGGGTTGACAGGTGGGCAGCCTATCAAACTTGTCCCACCAGGGTATGTGGAAATCTGGCTCACTGGCTGGATCTAGTTTCCTGCTACTGAGTATAGATTAATTTGATATAGAACTTTGTTATGGTGTGATATTGAGCAAACGATACTAACTTTAAAAGATCTATGATCTGAAGAATTTCTTGAATAGATGTAAGGGCTTCTGTATGCACAACCTGGCATTTTTTTCAACTTCAGCTTCTTTTGCATTATATGGTCTGCCTGAAGTTTCACTTAAGTTTCTGTAACTGCTGATAAAGGGGTTTAGAAGCCATACTCTGTGGTGGTGTCCCATATAGAGTTCATAATATGGCTTGATCAGGGTCCTTCAGTATGAAATTTGTACTGAAATTATGGAAAAGCTGGGTATTTTACCCTAACTGGATTAATAGTGTCAAATAGCATTACAGTGGTACCTCCGATTGCGGACGGGATCCGTTCTGGAGCTCTGGTCAGATCCCGAGGTTTCTGCAACCGGAGGGCTTCTGCACATTCACACGGGGCGGTAGAGCGCTTCTGTGCATGTGCGTGGGGCGGTTTGCCACATTTGCATCCTGAAGGATATGCAAACGGAGGTGTGCGTATCCAGAGGTACCACTGTACTGTGTTTTTTGATGACTTTAAAGAAAAAAAATTCTACTTTTCTGCACAAATACTTTAATCTACTATCTCCTCTTAAATTTCTTTCTGTCTTTTTTGGTTGGTCATTCTATGTAGCACTTCCAATTTATTTGGCACAGATTTTGATACATTTCTATATGGCTTATTTTCAGCACTAGCCAAATGTGTAGAGGACCCTGCCAAGCCATCTTGGTTTATGCTGCATCATTATCTTCCATTTGAGGATAGTATAAGAATAGAAATATATTGAACTACTGCTGATTGTGCCAAATTGCTAGACTCTTTGTTTTCTACAAATTCTAGGGATAGTATTATAATAAATGAGTGTTCAAGTAATTGATCAACATACAAGGGTTCTAAATGTGTAAATAGCCTAACCTTAGTTGCTAGGAGACAGTGATAAATGGACACCTGCTATCTACAGACAACTAAAGGATTTGAGGACTTGTACTTTAAAAAGTATTACTTGATTGTTGTTAAACTGTTAAGAGAAACAAAATGACCTGATTGTGAAATAATGTAACAATACAGTAATTAGAATAGCACATGATTATTATTTTGTGGTGTCAGCTAACTGGAAACACACACATGACTGTACAAGTTCATGCTACAACGTTCATGCTAAGTCTTTGTCTCTTTTTAGAAATGTAGGCAGTACTACAGTTAAATGTAATTCCTCCCCTACATATATTTCAAGAGGATGCTTGGAGCTGTACAAGCATGCACCCTTTCTCCCAGTACTTAATGTATTTTGCTAATACTACAAAGGCAGGGGCTCTAATGTAAGTTACCACGTGCAATTTTAAAACAGATTTGTTAATCATCTGTCATTGTGCCCCCCCCAAAAAAACCCCTTTTTGTCATATCTTACTACCACATTCAAGAACTTTGGAAGAACTTCAGAAGGGTGATTTATGTAGGCATTCTTGAAAATATTTTTTCCTATTTGGTTTGCGTCAGCTAATTTCAAGGGCATATGTAAAGCCCCCTGTGCCCTTGGCAAGGAGCTGTATCGGTGCCCCCCTCCCCAAATCGCCTTCATGGTTCAGGAAGGATGAGAAGCTTCTCCTGCACTTGATGTCGGCAGGACAGTGGCGTCATTTCACCACACACATATTTGTCATACAATCCATAGTCTGATAGATGATTTTTGTGTCCCCCCTGGGCCTGTGTCCCAGGTGAAGGCCAGTTTCACCAACTCCTAGGTATGCCTCTGGCTAATTTCAAGGAGAGCTTTAATAGCTTGTTGACTTAACATGAAAAATTCGTTACTGTTACACATACATTTTTTTTTTTAGTTCTACTCACAGGTAAGACTTCCTATAGGTGGAACAGGAAGGGAAGCAATTTTCAATAATTTATCTCTCCCCTTGCAGCCTCTATAGTACCCTAAATCTGTTCTAGAGAGTCCTCCAGAGTGAGGCTTGCCTGGCGTCTTCATTACGTATCTTTAGGTGATAGGCAAAAACATTCCTTTTCTCCCAGGTCTTTGGCTAATTAAACAATCCATCACCTTTTAACCTCTGTGTGGGGCGGGGCTGTCATTTAAAAAAGAAATCTAACCCAGTTTTTGTACATAAAGTATAAAGCTTTTGCCTTGTGCATCTAGTATACCTGAAGAAGTGTTTCCACTCCCATCATTCAGCCCAGACACCAAGGTCCAGCTCTGAGGGCCTTCTGATGGTTCCCTCACTGCGAGAAGTGAAGTTACAGGGAACCAGGCAGAGAGCTTTCTTGGTAGTTGCACCCACCCTGTGGAACACCCTCCCATCAGATGTCAAGAAGATGAGCAACTATATAACGTTAGAAGACATCTGAAGGCAGCCCTGTTAAGTCTATATGAAACGCTTTCCTACTGTGAATACTACAAAGCAAATTCTTCCTCCTCTACACTACTCCTTCAGTTAGTAAAACAAATCAATACAAATCGACACTTGCAGCTAGTCACAACATGACATGCTAGGTTTCCAACAATGTCTGCCAGTTTCTGATATCTCTACTGGAAAAGAAGATCTGCATGAACATTTCTGAAAGGTGGAACGATAGGGTCTTTCTCATATGAGTGTAAAATAAAACAAATCATAATTTAAATTCTATAATTAACACCTCTGCTTTATGCTGAAGTAGCAGTACTAGCCATTCTTTGTGATACATGACGAGCTTCTTTGGGAGGAAGGATAGAATATAAATTCAATAAATAAAATACATGTTTGGTCCAAAATAGCACCTGAAACTCATGCTTTAAGTACTAAGCTAGGAGTTAAAATTGTGTTATTTTGATTATCATTTCAAGAGCCAACATCTGAAAATATTTCATTCATTGTGGTATTTATTTTCTTGAGGCTGGAGCAGATGAGCGGCCTGCCTGGAAACAATGGTTTTGCAAATTGGGAGCATAATCCAGAAACAGAGTTTGAAATTGGTATATAGGTTCTGGCTTGAGATGGCAAACCTGGTTTTCATTGGCCAAAGTGCAGATGTAATGCCAAACCAGCAATTATATTGATAAAAAGAAGAAAAATTCTGTACCTGGGAATGGGGCACAGTGTATGTTCCTGAGGCTGGTTCTTGATTACAGATTAAGTATCAAAGCATTTATTTGTTTTAAAACCAAAGGTCTGCACAAACAAATAATAGTTGACACTCTGCAGGGAGTACCAGAAAATCTGAACTGGGCCAAAGCAAGTGCACAAGGAGCTGCTATAGTGATTCCTTGTAAAAATCTGCTCTCCAATCCCATATAAAGATTAAATAGTATATAATAGCTCAGCACAATTAAGCAAACGGGGATTATTGGGAATGCTGGTGTACGCTGCTCAAATTTCACCTGTCCCACTCCTCTCTTTGCTGCACTGGGAGGAAACAAACTAGAATACCGCATATATGTAAGTGTAATTAATTTTGTGCCCCCCCCCCCATGAGGAAATGGGATTTTATTGGTACCCATTCTGTAGTGGCCACTGTGAGGCTTAGATAGGAGTTGTTTTTTGCTGTGATCAGTTGCTAGGAGCACTTCAAATCCAGTAGCCTACAACATGATCTTTTGCCTCTCTGCCGCACAGTTCTGATTAACTAATTAATGGTGGAAGCCAAAGTTGGTTGTTTCCTGAAAGAAACATGCATGAGAGCGTAGATATGTATGTATCCAAATTACTGGGTGATGAAACAGGTTTGTGACTTGTGGTTATCTGAAAGTGAAGAACCATAGTAAGCTACTCTTGAAAGTGAGGGGACTTTCAAATGTAGCTTGTGATACGAAATGGGGATCTGCTTTTCAAAAAATGAAAAAGTTACAAGTGGTTGTTGCTTGAGTGGACCTGAAGTAACTACATGGATCCTGCTTGGTCCTTTCGATCTTGGTTCATTAATAATTCCAGGGCCATTCTGCTGGAAAGAAAAGTCACTTGAATATAGGAAATGGAATGAATCCTTTATTGGAATTGATCATGTGTGGGTTTGTTTGGCTGAATCACATGCCCCATGCTTGGTTTGCTATTGCATATATATACTTTATGAGGTATAATCATACATATTGACATGTAGGTTTTGAATAACTGCCTACAAGGAAGCAGCTTTCATATATGAAGTTTATTCTGTTTTGAAGCATTGCTAATGCTTGAGGAAATGCTTCAAGTATTTTGAAATTGATGTAGTCATAAGTAGGTTACAGCTGAGCCAGTTCTCTATGAAGCTGGAGTTTATCAGACTTGTGTTTGAATGATAAAGCAGCAGATCCATAGATAGTTCTGCTGCAGTTTCATTTAAAGTTACTCAAAAATTTACTCTAGACATGACAAATGTGACTGATATAGTAAGTACTATTTCCTGTATGTTGTAGTAAGATTTTAACAATAATTTGTATTGTTCACAGGAAAAGCTGTGTACTTAGAGCTGTCCATCATCCTTGCCACTGAAAAGGCAGTATGGAGACGAAATAGACTCTTCAGTATAGAAAAAGTAAATAGAACAATTTTTGTTTAAAACCATATGGTCATCTGAAAAAAGAAGGATCATACATTATCTTTCAACTCCTACCTGAGTCCTTTGTATTGTGTGATGAGTTAGTGATTCCAAAATCTGGAGGACCCTTGTAAAACAGCAAAACTGGGATTAACTGGTTTAAAAGTGACTGAATGTTACAATGTTGATGTAACATAATTCTCTTACAATGCTGTTGCCTCTTGAATGAGTGTTGAACTTAAAAAAGGGGGGGGGGAATTTTAGGGATATTCTGATTTCTAAAGTAACAAATCTGAGTAGTTAGTAAACTGATGTATTCCATCTTCAGCTTCTTAAAGTAGGATTTAGGAACAGCCTAAAGTGTATTTTATTCATATTTTTTCTGTTAAATAAAATGATAGAGATTTTAGTCAGTACATTTAGTTATACTGTTAGTTATCCTGATATCAGGTGCTGGGCACATATATTGAACTTTAAGTATAATACATTAGCAGAAATTAGCTCTCATGTATCTTTCAGGTCATTCCTGAGGATGCTTAATGATCTGTCACTGATCCATTTGTGTTTATCAATTCTGTACTGTATGAGGTATAAAATAAGTAAGGCAGCTAATGACCGATTAGCAGTTGTTATAATATTTTCTTTACACTATTGAGTAAAGCAATACTCAGTCAAGTGTGATATGAAAGTACTGTTCAGACACAATGCTAAGCATGGTTATGCAAATGAATCTCTGGCTCTCACTTTCTGTGGTTTATTTATTCTGGTTTATTCTGAACAAACCAGAATTTGAAGCTTCAATGTGATCCTGATTTGTTTGAACTAACCACAGTTTCCTGAGTTCAACTGTAACAGAAAACTGAAGGCTTTTACTTTCAAAGAAACCTAAATCTTTTCTCTGCATGTGAAGGAGGGAAAAAGGGGATGAATGAAACTGAGCCTTTTCCTGACTTCTTCATGTAATCCTAATCCATGATCAAGCATTGTGCACGAACTGTGTTTAGTTACTCTTTTGGTATATATTTGGTATATATTTTTTCATAACTGTGGATAGTACATAATTTATGTGTTCTAATAGATTTATTCTTATTCTTTTTCCCAAAGCTTTCTGCCTGAAATCATTTACTTCAAGGAGTGCAGGATGACAGAACGTGGAATAAAATGGGCTTGTGAGTATTGTACATACGAAAACTGGCCATCTGCGATCAAGTGTACCATGTGCCGTGCTCAAAGACCTAGTGGAACTATTATAACAGAAGATCCTTTCAAAAGTGGTTCAAGTGATGTCGGTAGAGATTGGGATCCTGCAAGTATTGAAGGAGGCAGCAGCCCTTTGATATGTCCAGATTCCAGTGCAAGACCAAGAGTTAAATCATCCTACAGTATGGAAAGTGCAAATAAGTGGTCATGCCACATGTGCACATACTTGAACTGGCCTCGTGCAATACGATGCACACAGTGCTTGTCTCAGCGTAGGACCAGGAGTCCCACAGAATCCCCTCAGTCTTCAGGGTCTGGTTCAAGACCAGCTCCTTTCTCTGTGGATCCTTGTGAGGAGTACAATGATAGAAATAAACTAAACATGAGGACACAGCACTGGACCTGTTCTGTCTGTACGTATGAAAACTGGGCTAAAGCCAGAAAGTGTGTTGTGTGTGATCATCCAAGACCCAACAACATTGAAGCAATAGAATTGGCAGAAACAGACGAAGCTTCCTCAATAATAAATGAGCAAGACAGAACTCGATGGAGGGGCAGCTGTAGTAGTGGTGGTAATAGCCAAAGAAGATCACCTCCTACAACCAAACGGGAATCTGAAATGAAAATGGACTTTCAGAGAATTGAGCTGGCTGGAGCTGTTGGCAGCAAAGAAGAACTTGAAGTTGACTTCAAAAAACTAAAGCAAATAAAAAACAGAATGAAGAAGACTGACTGGCTGTTTCTTAATGCTTGTGTTGGTAAGTTCTGTGTCAGTCATATTTCATTTACAAGGGAAGATGAGTGGTGTATATTGGTTAAAATGTAAAACACAATTGTTTTGGCAACCTTCACACAATGTTTATAACAAGCATGCATATGAAACACTTTAAACACTTAAAATCACTATACAAATGTTGAATTTCCATATTTTAACAACACAATATGTGAACTTATTTTTGTAAGGTGTTGAAACATAGGAAAATCCTACTTAAATGCTAGCCAAATAAATACCATTGACACAAGCGTAAAATCAGAGTTGCACTTCAGTTTTAAAAATAAAGATTCTAAATGCCTTTAAGAACAGTTCTTATATATGAACACTAATGCATAAAATTACTTAGCCATGTGTTATTTTTTTTTTTACCCTACTTACAGTGACAAGCTGTGCCTTAGAATCAGCAGCTGCAGTTCACGGGTGTTTGTAAACAGTATAGATCTTACACAAGTGTGAGGCAATCAGTTAAAAATAACACAGAATGTAGTTCTGACCTTGGAAATACTGATTGTAGTAACAAATATTGTCGTTTTGGCATATTATAAATTACACTTTGATTAATTATCTCTAGTGTATCAAATCTATAATGCTATTGGGATTGTCTAGTGTTCTGCTATGTGGATTTCCCCCTACAAGCAGATATTTTGGAAAATATTGAAAGTATTTTCAAAGTATAAGGGTGGAACTGTGCTGTGTATATTTAATAACAATGATGATAGTAATACAGTGCAATTAGTTTCATGGTGCATTAGAATAGAAGAGGGCACGTTCCTGACCCAACGAGCTTACAATATATAAAACCTAATACAAGGGAAACAGATGAACATGAGGGAAGTGGTGGCTGGGGTAAAAGAATATGAGATTGTTTCAGTTATACTTAGGCTTGGTTACAGGCTTAGTTCTAGTGGAGCAGCCTTCCCTGACCTGGTACCCTTTAGATGTTTTTGGACACATCAGGGGCTGATGGGAGTTGTAGTTCAGACATCAGTTTGGGGAAGGTTGTATCAAAGCATTCATGAAAAAGTGGATTTTGAGGAGGGATTGGAGTAGGTAAGACAAGTTACATAGACAGTTCACACAAAAGGGTTAGCAGGGCAGAAAATGTGTAAATAGGTATAAAATTCAGCTATGCCAGTCTGATCCAATATTATTATAGTTTGTTTCAGTATCTATAACAGAGTTTTCAGGGTAGCTCCTAACAAAAAAATAAAACAAATTTAAAATTCAGAAGCAAAAAAGTGCAAAGACAACAACAAAAAATCCACTCTGATTGGAAATAATAAATTCAGTTTAAAACTAAGACCCCCCCAAATATTTTTGCCTAGTAATGAAACACCCCCTCCCCCAGATTAGATGCCAGGTGAGCCTCTGTGGAGAAGGCATTGCACAGAGGAGGTGTCCACCTGCCCCCAAAGACCCCCACTTCTGTAGCTATTTATTGCATTTCATTAGATGGAGGCATTCAGTAGGGCCTCTGAATGTTGAGATACGTACTATCTTAATCAAAAATTATAAGATAAACTGTTTGCCTTCAAATATGAATTCTGCCTTGTATGGCTCTGTGGTAGCCTTAATCAGCAAGGAATTTCATGAAAGCAAGTGCATGGAATTCTGTGCAGGTGAGTGAGTTGGGTGGCAGAGGAGGAATGACACACACTGTCCTTCCTTTCCGTGGCCGGTGTAAAAACAAGTGGCCTGCCAGACTGTGGCAGGCTCTCCTGAGCTTGGTGTACTTTTGTAGAAGAAAGTAAGAATTTGTGAACTTAATGTGCTCACTACTGACTGCTGAAAAATACCCTGTATTCTTTCAAAATAATAACCTTCCAACTTTTTATGGAAGAAGCGGGGTATACAAAGTACTGCCAGGAAGTGTCTCCCCTCCGTTGTGGAAGATGGATTTTTTCTTGTTTAGAATGCCCTTGCTTGGATTTATTAAATGCTACAACGATGTTTAGGAGGTGTTTGAGAGACTGAGAACTTAAGACATGGGTGTCTAATATTGAATACCTGATTGATCTATTTCTTAGGATGGTAATACTGACTGTCAGAACACTGTGGCAAATGCATGTAATGTGTGTATATAATAGTGAAATGCTAGACTTGCAAATAGTGTTCAGTTAGATATGGCAAATAGTTGACCAGGAAAAGAAGGTTCCATTTTTTGCTGCCCGTAAGATAAAAGGCATACTATTTATAGTGCTTATTTAAAGATTTAAAAACAATGAATTATACTTGTCTTTGAATACATGGTTCTTGTTTTGGCCCAAATGCAAATAGCTCATCAAGTATCTTTGCAATTTTGCATCTTGCATTGCAGCATGTCCTGAAAAGGAGACTCTGTTGATTTTTAAGTTTGCCTTTTTACAATTTTGTTATAGTGGTTTCAAGATGTTGTTTCCCATGATTTATTTTTAGAAATTTGATGTCAGTCACTCTAGCATTTATTTAATTAGTATGCGACAAGTTGCTTCCCGCGGGATGCCTTTTGTAAGGTACCATATGAGAGGAATAGATTCTGCACAATTTTTGTCTTTTGTTTTTCTAATGTGGAAAACATGATTGTGGTCTATCATAATAGCAAATGTATGTTTATATTTCCCATGTGTGGCTGATACCTTAAGGCATTTGCTAGCCTCTGGCATACGAGGTTCCTGTGGTGCAGAAAAGGTATACCAAGGCCAAAATGGCCACCCTGATGCCTTCCTTAATTAAATATTATTTTAAATTTGCTGCTCATTAATAAAATTCTCTAGGTGGCTTACAAAAAACCTCCATCCTACAATATTTAAAATAAAATATAGTAATTGGAACAACAACAACAACAACAGAACAGGTTAAACTTTCCTAGTGGAAGCAGAAAAAAAGTTTGCAGCTCAGTTTAAAGCCACACTAAAAGAGCGAGAGCATAAGCTTTATTTAACACCAAGAAAACAACAAAAGGAGGACTTTTTCTGCTGGAACTCACCAGAATTCAGTTCCGGCACCTCTTATGTGGACACCATTGCCATTATACAGAGACAAAGGAAGGTGTTTGTGGTGAATTCCAGCACCTGTTTTTCTAGAAAAATAGCACTGATTACGTAGACCTGTAGTTTATTTTAAAACACAGGTTTAGAAGGCCTGAGTAAATTAAAAGGCACTCACACTTGGGGCCAAAAAGACAATAAAAAGGTGCCTGAGGAGACTATACCAATACTGGTGTGCCACAGCTGAGAAGCCCCTCTCTTTTGTAGCCACCTGCTTCACTTCACCTGGATCCAAACAGGATCTCAATGTTTCGGCCTTTGTAGGCTAAAGCTGGTAATTCACATTAGGCCTGGAAAATGACAGGGAGGCAGTGCGGCAGGTTAAGTACCTAGTTCATAGCCTTGTGGCTCTATTTTAAACAAATTGCAGTTTCTGAGTCACTCTTTAAAAAGGCAGCCACATGTGCAACTCATTGCAGTAGTCTGAAGGTGTGGTTACCTGAATGTAAACCTCTATGGCCAAGGTATAGCCATACTTTATATATTGGCTAAAACTGGTGAAAGGTACTTGCCACACAGACCTCTTGAACCTCTTATGATAATTTTGCATCCAGAAGTATCCCTAAGCTGTGAATTTACTAAATTTTTTTGAGGCGTGGGGAACCCTTTTCAGATCAGACTGTTTGCCCTTCACATGTGGCTCTCAATACCTTTTTGGAACCTCTTGGCAACATTTGAATCCCCCCCATCCTCATCTCATGCTGTCTTTCCAAAGCTGGGGGAGTTTCCAAAGTTTGGGGGAGGAGGTGTGAAGGCTCTAACAGGATCCTAGGGTTCTTCCAGCTCCTTTCCAAAGCCTAGTCTACACTTTTCCAGCTTTGGGAAGGAAAAGGGAGGGCTCTTGTACTCTTTCAGAGCCTTGTGCCTCCTTCCCAAAGCCCAGTGCCTTACTTAGCCCGCTGTGAGAAGGCAGCACAAGGGCTGTGGGGGAGGCATCAAATTTTAGCCTTCCTGCCCCCGTATGACAGGGCAGTGTGCCGTCTAAGGGTTCCATGTTGAACTACTCTTGGGGCCCATCTGGTATGAAAAGTTGGGCTGCCCTGACCTGGATGGACAAATAATCTACCAATAGTGCTTCCATCTTATCAGGACTGAGTCTCAGTTTGTTAATCCAATCAGTTACCATGCTAATGTTCTGATTCAGGGCATCCACAACCTCACCTGCTTCTGATTATTGCATACTGGTCACACCTCAGCCCAGATTGCTCAACCTCTTTTCTCAGCGGTTTTGTGTAGATGTTAAACAGCACAGGGGCTCCAAGAAGCACAATTGTGAAGGCACTGAGCAGTATTTCTGTAGTACCAACTTATGGAATTGGTCCTCTCAGTAGAAATGGAAAATCCCTCTTATGCCTAGGTGGGTGAGCCTAACTAGAAGAATACAAGAGTGATGGTATTGAAAGTCATGGAGAGGGTTACACTTGAGCCTTCTGTCTTCTAACTGCTTGGACCCAGCCAACCATACATTTCCTGCTAGATTTAATAAGCCATGACTGGCAAGGGTCAAATACACAAGTGTTATTCTGGGCATGAGTCATGACCAAGCATTGTCCATGTCCTCATGTTTCAGTAACTGAAATCCATCCAAGCAGGCTGGACCAGATGGAACTCTGAACACCTCTACTTACAACATAGCATTAATTGTAGTTTAAGTCATGATGGATGCGAGAAACTTTACATTCAGAGTTTCCTGCAAACATGTGATAGTGGGTTCCTGAGGATTCACCCCATCTCCCAGGCCAGATTTCAAAAAGGCCTGCACTGTTTGGGAAAACTAGGTAACATTGAGAGGATGCAGCTATAGGAGGAAAGTTTGTTCAAATCCATCACTGCAACAAAGTAGGCTCTCACTTGTGTTCAGTTGGATTCATCTTGAATTTCCTTCCACTTGTGTACCAGCTGTCTTTCAGCTTGTTTCATTGTGCTCAGGTGTGTAACAAGGAGTTGCATAGGCTGT